GGGCATTAGCTCGCTAAACTCCCCAGGCATGCGGCAACCTCTTTATCCCGGAGAGAAGGCCCCTTCTGAATTAATTTTTCTCCCGTAATTACGCCTGCCTCAACACGTCCGATCGATTCGGACAGCCCCTTGAACTGTGGCGAAACCTCTGAAACGTGTTTAAACCCTCTTTGCAGGGCTAGCAGGGAATGAATAGGGCTTTTGTCGGCGGACAATGGCAACCTCCCGACTGTCTCCTCAGATTAATTAAAGTAGACGGCAATCTCTTAAAAACCTGCTTTGTTCTGATAAGGCAACTGCTTATCGACGAGGCCCAGGTTAACAGAAATCAGTGTTTGGCGGAGGTTTTTGTGATGGTAAATGTCTTCACTTTTTGGCTACCTTCTGCTCCTGTGAAGGGCTGCTGCTAATCGTGACTCGCCTTAGCCTAAAGGTTGGATGACAAAGAGGTTTTTTTGGTTCCCCAGATACCTCCGGGGAAACCCGAGGGCTGCTTGTGCAACCAGGAGTGCTTAATTTAAAAAAAAAAAAAAAATCAGTCCGAAGCCCAGAATTTTAAACCCCGCATTCCATTTATAGAGCAGAATTTAGGCTAATTTAGAGGAGTTCAAGTCCCGTGGCCTAACGGGGCATACTGATGCCAGCTCCTTTCCAAACCGTCGCCAGATGAACGAAGGCCTTTTCTGCCCGGGCAGGAAGCCTTGCTGCGAGCCACGTGTTTGAAGCGGGGACTCTTGCCTGTGAAACCCTTCCGAGAAACTTCACTTTCGCTAGATAACGAGCTTGTGGAGCCCGCTGCGCTGCCTCCGAGCCCATTGCTTGAGTAACCTGCGTTTTTCTTGACTACCTACATCTTTATCTGCGCAAAGCTGTAAATTTTACAAAAACCTTAAGTTATTTGCGTTAGCCAATAATTGGCTAACCACCACAACACTGGTGTTAATTCTGTTTCCACGCATGATAATGTAATTTAATAGGAACAAGACGTTTCCCAGGGTGGCCGGACCATGTGCTGGTCCTTTATCGGCCGTTGTTCTCCCCGGGGGAAGATGGTGCTGGGGCCGCCGCAGCGTGTGGTGATGGATGGCACGTAGGGAATGGGGCTGCAGTACCTTGTCGCTGCCGCCCGCAGCTGAGTGCGCAACAAATCTCCATCCTGGAGCTGGGGATGCAGCAGAGGGATGTATAGTTCCACCTAGAGTTGTATTTAAATGTAAAAAAAACCCCCAAACTTTCTTTTATCATGCAAAAAAGGTTTTTTACAGTTTCCTTGAAGGCACCTAGGTGGTTTCTGCGGGTGGGGGACCCAGCCTGAAAGGCTCCTTGTCCTCTATCGGAGCAACATGCTGCAAGGTTAAGTAAGTAGGTGTGCCCACGCTACAAATACCCTCGAGATAAGTCTGTCTTGTCACCAAACATCTGATGCTTGTCACCTCTACTCCCTTAATTTTTTTTCTTTTTGTTAAGCCTCCTGTAGGCCTTAGCCCACTTTGCTAGACTGTCCTATGTGGATCTGACAGCTAATCCATCTACATGTAGGGAACGTGTTGATGTCTCCTAGCATGTAGGGAAAGTGTTGATGTCTCCCAGCACTGTGCGGGCTGGCCTGACCTTCCCGGCTGGCCCCCACACCTCGTTTGCTGAAAAGCCGGAGAGGTATCTCTGTCGTGGAGCTGCGGCTCGCTGCCGGGGGGAGCGTGTGCCTGGCCGGGAGCGTGTGGTGTCTTCTGGGTCCCGTCCAGCGTTGCAGAAGAGATGGCATTTTGGGGTGGCCATCTTGTACTTGCGTAACTGAGTGCCACCTCCTGCAGCAGCCACCCAGGGGAGATGTGTTGTCCTCCCTCTCTGGCAGAGGGCTTGACCAGCCTGTCTGCTTCACTGCAGAGCTGGATTTTTTTGTTGTTGTTGAGTCCGTTTAGCTTCTAGAATGAACAAAGCTGATGCTTTTTTAGGCTTTTTTCAGGGAATCTGAAGGCCTGCTGGGTTTCGTAACCCTGCCCTTCTCAAATACAAGTGCTAACTCAAACCGTTTCTGCCTCTAGCCAGGGACACCTGGGCATGAGCAGCCTTGTTCTGCGGCGTCAGCGAGGTTGTGTAAGTGAGGCTGACCAATAAAACCCGAATCATCACCCGCTGTGAGCCTCCCCGCTGCCTGCCTGCAACTTCTACAGGCAGTAAAACGTCTTTGGCCGGCATGGCGGTGGTTAACGCTGCTCCTGCCTGGGGACAGTCCCTGTGAGACCTCGCCACTGCAGTTTCCACTTCCCTTCGTCACTGATAACAGCAAAGGCTTGGCCCAGGGTGGGGATTGCTGCTGCCTCTCCTTTCTCCCTCCCCGAGGGCAGCTCTGGAGGTGCTGTGGATTTAGCAATTCTCAGGATGAGCTGGCTGGAGTTAGTCACCTCGCTACTGCAAAACCGGTCATCCTGACCTCAAATGGCTCTTTCTAGAATATTCAAGAACTGGGGAGATAGCAGACCTCTTCAGGATACCCTGCCTGAAGCACAGGCAGCCCAAGTAATAAACTTGGGGATTTAATTGTTATTCCTTGAGGAAGGAATTTGGATTTATTCAGTGCTGGAAACATTCAGGCTCTGCAGGGTATTACTTACCCCCCTTCCTTGCTCAGTCCAGACAGAGCTTTGTGCCTTCAGGCGACCTTGAAGTCCTTGCTCCTCTGTTTGATATTTTTTTTTTAAAAAAAGAGCAAGTCTGGAGTAGTGGGAAATGCCAGACATTCCTGTTACATTTATAAAACTGATCCTTCCAGTAGAATTCAGTTGGTGCTTTGTAACTACATGGTAGTGGGAGGCACGAGGAAGTATAAAAAACTGAAGCAGCTGGTAGCAGGGCACGGTGCTGCGGGCAGATGGGTATTTGGGATACTTTTGGCTGGTGCTGTGTTTTTGCTCTTGTTCCTTGACAAGGTCACGGTGTCTCCGATTAATTTTTCTGAGCTCACTGAATTGCTGGAAAATCTTGTGAAAGGAGGCTTGTGACTCATGACTGAACTTTTCTTTCTCTATATATTTATAAAGACTTCAGGGGCTTTAAAATTATATTTGCAAATGACTTGAGTGGGTGGGGGATTTCCACGAGAGAGAAAGGGAGAACTCACCTGCCTATTTTGAAAAACTTCCAAGTCATGCTCTGGATGCAGTTTCCGTCTCGGGATCCCGTGGTTTTGTGTTCCTCTTGTTCCCAGAAGCTGCGCAGACCCGCTCACCCATGTTCGTGTGGAGGTGATTTCCCAGCAAAGGCTTATTTTTTTTGGCATCTAGAGGAGCCGGCACCGCTCCGCAGGTGTCGGAGGATGCAGCAGCAAGTGTTAGAGGGCTAAAACACAATGTTTCAGGTCTGACCAGCGGGTTTTCCTGTAATAATGGGACTTTGTCGGGCTTTTTATGTGGGCAGACCTTCTTGTACTGACTCCGGTGAATCAGCAGCTTCTGGCAGGGCTGAGGGAAAGGAGACTTTGCCAGGACAAATTATGGTTTTCGCTGGCCTGACTCCTTTATGCCGCATGGGAGCGAGGCAATGGTGAGTCAGGGCTGCCTGTGAGAGGATCCGCACGATCTGCACGTACGTGGGGAAGGTCTGCAGAGCAGAAACGGCTGAGGGGAGGAGCGCCGGCGCGAACGGAGCCTCTGCGGCACCCAGCAGGCACATGGCAGGCTGGCAGGGGACCTCCCTACCTGTTCCTTCCTTCTGGTCGGCCCTACTAGCTTTGACAAAGCTTTTGGTTTTGTTAGTGCCGCTGCCTCAAAGCTGAATCCACTGAGCTAGCTGGTGTGCGCAGCTAACGCCATTTTGTGAATTACTGGGGGGGGGTGGTGTCCGCTTGGGCAGCCGTGTTTCTACGAGCACCACGCTAAAGGCATCTCTCATGGGTGATCTCATAGGTGAAGGCAGCTTATGCTGAAAGAGGAGCCTGCTTTGAATATCCCCTCCATGCCCGGGAGATGAAGTTTGAAGTCAAACCACTGTTTGACTAGTGATTTGCCTGTGCTGGTAGCCACCTTACATAACTTTTTTTTTTTTAACCAGAGTCTTTTTGAATGCAGGCAATCTAGCCTGGGCAGGTCAAAGAAGACAAACGGCTTTTAGCCTCCACTGCTACTTGAGAACAAAATTATTGCAGTGCGGCCCGAGGTGCACAATTAGAAATGCCCGGGGGCTCCAGTGCTGCTGGGAAATGAGTATCCTCCCATCCCAGCAGGCTGTTAAGCTTGGGTTCAGCTTCCGCTTGAGATTGGGGGCAGTTCCTGCTGTTGTGGGGATGCTCTAGTCCTGTAGAGGCAAGCAGGAAGAAGAAAAACCCCTCTGAGTTCAGAGGGGTTTTTTCATACAAACTTTGAAAAAAGAACAACAAACCAGTTTTAAACCTTGTGGTGGTTTTCTGATGCCCTGGGTGAGGGGCATTGCAGGGCATGGGGGGAGACCTGCAACATCTTCAGTTTGAAGAGGGGACCTTGAATGTATTAAAGAAATCTTCATTTTTTAAAATATGTTCTCTGCCAAGGTGTTGTGTTTAATCAACTCAAGTCTACTTGTGGTACAGGCTTAAAGGATGGGTTTTAAGCTTAGGCGGACTTTGCCGTGATTAGGTGCTTCTCGGCAGAAGATTGCCCGCATAAGAAGCGTATCTGCAGTCACGCTAGCGCCGAGCTGCCCCGGTCCCCACTTGCGATGGGAAGAGCAGTGGAGGCCTGTAGGAGAAATGACTCGAGCTGGGAGGGAGGAGGCAGAATCTCTGCCTGCGCACTGAAGTGCTTGAATTTTGTTGCGTTGTGTAGCTCCAAGGGAAGACTGGCTATGAAGAGAAGCTATGAAGGGAACATCTGCATAGAAGGCAGGTGAGCTTTGGGTGGTCTACGTGGGGGATGACATGGAAATAGAAATGTCTTGCCTGTATCTACGACTCTCAAGTAGGAACATAAAGATAGTTTGACCCAGTAGCAGCTTTCTTGTTACCTCCATATTCATCACGTGGGTGTGTTTGGTGTCTCTGCCTGATGAGCAAGTCTGAGTGATTCCTAAACCTGGCACCGCTTTCTTTTCTTCTAGACACAGGATTCCAGCGACAATGTCGAAGCACCACGATGCAGGGACTGCTTTCATCCAGACCCAGCAGCTGCACGCTGCCATGGCGGACACCTTCCTGGAGCATATGTGCCGCTTGGACATCGACTCGGAGCCAACCATTGCGAGGAACACCGGCATCATCTGCACCATCGGTAGGCGATTCCTAGATAGGAGAGAATAGCAGCTGTGAATCCCTGTGTTGGTGAAACTTGTTAGGGAAATTGTGTGAGAAGGCTTCTGCTTTCATCCCTTGCCAGGGCTGAACTTGTGTGTTGAAAGAACATGACTTTCCTGTGTCTGCCTAACCCATGTTATTGCTAGGAGTGACTTGAGTAGCCGGGGAAGTCGGAATTGCTTAGGTTCTGTTGCGCTCCTCAAGGCCAGTTAAAACAGTATTTGCTGCTGTAGAGATGAGCTGCCTCAGCGCTGAGCAAGTCTGTGTCCGTTATACCTTTTCTCTTCCTTACAAAACAGCCTGGTGTGTGTGAGTTACCTCATTATTTCTACAAAGTTAATATTCAAACTGTTTCTTCCTCCTAGGCCCAGCCTCCCGCTCGGTGGAGAAGCTGAAGGAAATGATTAAATCTGGAATGAATGTTGCCCGCCTCAACTTCTCTCACGGCACCCACGAGGTAAGGGTGGGGTCTGAGCTGATAGGGTCCTGGCCAAGCCTTGCATGTGTGTCTGCTGACCCTTCCCCTCACGTAAGAGGGAAATCCAGCTTAGTCCAGACTGGCCTTAGTGTGGGAAGGGAAAACTTCGCTCTGCTTTTGGGGAGAGCGTGCTGGTTGTACATATCGAGCCTGTGTAATTGCTGATAGTGTCAAGGTGCGCTTTCTGAGCAATTTTGAAAGCAGTTCCAGTCGGTTCCACACCCTTTCTCTGTAGCAGGGAGCCAGGTAACTGATACCTGACACTTGTGTGCCAACTGCTTGCCATGAAATCCTTCAGTTCTTCCCCACATTCTGCTGTTCGCTGTACAAAGCTGCCGCTTCTCAGTTAATAGCGGGAGCTGAGGATGTCTGTTACTGGTTTGCTGTGCACCTCTGCAGGAGTACGAACTATCAGTTGTTCGTCTCGCTTCTTGTTTTATTGCTGGGGTTTTTGCAAGCAGGCAATCAATGAATAACCTTCTCTCCAAAGAAAACTGCTAGCGATTTGAAGTAATTACTGTGTGTAGTTGAAAGAATTGAACTCCTGGGTTTGCTTGGCTAACCAGCTGCTCCGGTTGTGTTCCTGGCAGGCACGAGGTTAGCACCACGGTACTTGGGAGGTGGTGCGGTGAGCTTATAGGAAATAAGGTCAAAAGAAATCAACGCTGTTTGTGGCAGACAAGCCCTCATTGATATAAATAGATGAGGTCCTCAGTGATACAGGAGGAGCCAAGGATCCCATTCCAGGTTGCCTAGAATGCCACCCTGAGCTGTCCCGCTAAGTGTGTTTTTTTTTTTCCCCTGGCTGCCCTCCAGCTTTCAAAATGTCAGGCAGTAGCCAGTAGCAGCTGTAGGTGGCTTTACTTACTGAACCGTGAGCCTTGTGGTGTGTAACAGCTTGGCCTCTCACCCTCATGGCCTTTAAAGGCCATAGGGCACTGTCAAAATCGAAAGGTCTGATGCTTAACTGTGGAGAACTGTCAGACCTTGACTAAACACCCTGGAGTGCTGTCGGTGCATGGGCTGCAGTTAGCAAAATCTTGCCTGAAGAAAGGGTAACGTGGAATAACTGCCTTTCAGTAGTCAAATGTTGCTGGATGGCTTGGCGGGGAGTTGGTGGCCGGGCTGAAACTGGGAATCTTAACACCGTTACTGCCTGGCGGAGCTGCCGCTGTGGTTAGCGTACTTGTTAGCTGAGGTTGAGGAGAGGGACTGTGGCTTTCTGCTTTGGGTGAGGTCTAATTGCACGTTTCATACAGATGAGGTTAGATTGTACAGCAGAGACTGGTCTTGCTGTCATCTCCTGTTGAGTTTTTGACTGTCAGCCGAAGCCAGTCTTGAGTTTGAGTCCTCTCCTGGTTTCTCTGAAACACTCCAGCTTCCAGTGAAGCCCCAAAGAGTCTTCATCCGTTGTGACTGCTTTGGTTCTTG